TTACAGGAGCATACCGCCACACCCAGCTAATTTTTCCTATTTTTAGCAGAGACGGGGTCTCACTCTTGCTCAGTCTGGTCTCAAACTCCTGAGCTCAAGCGATCCTCTCTCCTCAGCCTCCCAGAGTGCTATGATTATAGGCATGAGCCACCTTGCCTACAAAATATTTTTTAACAATTAGCCAGGTGGTGTGGCATGCGCCTATACTCCCAGCTATTTGGGAGGCTGAGGCAGGAAGATTGCTTAAGCCCAGGACTTGAAGGTTGTAGTCAGCTACGCTTGTGCCACTGTACTCCAGCGTGGGCAACAGAACAAGACCCTATCTCTTAAAAATAAATAATTGTTAAATAAATAAACAAACAAACAAACACCCATCCAAGTACAGATCCAGGATGGTGGGGCTGATCGTATAGACAATGACCATCTGTAAGTGGGACTACTGCCTAACCTCCAGGCTAGGCTCCTTTCGCAAAAGGCTTCCTTAATAAACTACTCAGATGGACACAGGCAGTTTTTAGATCATAACACTGAGGTAACATAACCTTGTCTTTTATTGCTCATTTTGTAACTTCTATTCAAGGATGATGGCTGACAAATAGGCAGTTGGCCATTCTGACGAAGGCACACTTCAGGCTGCACGTGCACCCCATCTCCCACCCCATCACTCCCATCGTCAATGCACAAGAGACAACTGTACAACCTAACACTGTTCCCCCCAGGCATGGTCACTCATCTGTCTGCAGAGGGACCAATGACTACAAATTATACCTTGAGCCAGCTCCAGGACGTTTAGAACGCTTTTATCCCAAGAGCTGATGGCATCTCCTGCATGCTGTCCTTCCATCTGGCAGCACTGGCAAAAAACAGGTTTTTATATCAATCAGTGCTAGGGCAGAGAGAATCAAGAAAAAGCCTTCAGTGGAAATGCATTTAACCATATCCAGAACAGACCATATCCAGAAAAAGCTTTTTCTTTTATGATTTCTCAATCTTGGCTGTGCACCAGAACTACTCGAGGAGCTTTTAAAAATACTGAAGTTCAGACAACGCCCCAGACCAATTAGGTCAGATCCTCCAGAGGGGCACCCAGGCATCGGTATGTGTGTCAGTTCTTGAGGTGATTTCAAAGTGCAGCTAGAGTTGAGAACCACTGGTCAAACAGATACCATTTGACATTTAAAAACTTTTCATTGTGAATGGAACCCATATCTGCATTGCAAGTATACTTGTGTTCACCTTTCAGTTTTCTACACTGCAAATTATCTCTAGTTTACCACCTTCCCATTGAAAAGGGAGGCAGACTCCTTCTAGTTTACTAGGTTGTGGATTAAGAAAAAATTTAATGCTTCTTTGCTGTTGCTGACCTAGTTAAAAAGAGTGCATTCTTCCACTCCTCAGCCCCACTCCTGTCAGACTTAATTGTCGGTCCTGAACTCTTTCGTGCTTTGATCTGTTTCAGACTGGGAAGAAAGCCCTGGGTTTACCGCCTTCATGTGCATGACTCATCTGTTCACATGCCAAAGCGACGGCATCATGCATGATGAAATTCAACTGTAACAGCTCTCCCGAAGAGAGGCCGCAGCACCAGCTTCTAAGTGGGGCTTCATCCCAGCTGCCACAGGACTACTACTAAGCCCTCAATCACACCACCCAGCAGCCCCCGAGCACAGAGAAGCCCCCAGGCATGTGTGCCTGCCTCCTTCAATCACATGTCCTGTCCACAGCTCTCATGCTCACTCCTAATAGGTAAAGAGAACATGTGATCAACTCCAGCCCTGGAGAAAGCAAAAGTAGACATAAACTGCTAAGATACCTTTTTGTTCGAAAAACCCATCTAAGTTAACTTAATCTATTTGTATACCAAATTGTACCTGAAGTAAAATCTCAATTCTGTCTTAAAAAAAAAGGAAAAAGATCCATAAAAATGCTAAGAAGGAAATATACTACAATAAGGGTTACTTCTGGTGCTAAGATTATGGTGATTCCCACCTCCAGCCCCATTATTTTTTTTTTGTAGTTCACTAACTTTCCAGAATGAGTATTATTACCTTTAAAATCAGAAAACAAATATAACAACCTTCCAAAGCTTAATTAATCAACTAACGAGAAGCTAAATCTAATAATCACTTCAAACGCTCCAAAATTCAACAGAATAAATCTTCTCAAATTACTTTCTCCTCTTTCTAACTCTAACTTTAAAAGGAGTCTGCCCATCAAGTGTCTGTACTTTCATGAGTATTCAAGGCAGGGTTTACTGATTTTCATGCTAGATAATGTTGAACTGCTCCAGTTTCAGAAACTCATCAAAAGGAGGATTTAGTCTGTTAAAATGTTCACATCCCCAAGTTAAAAGTGGATACCGGATACAATAGCATCCATGTTTCTGGAGAAAAATCAGTACACATGTAACTTTTGTTACAGGAATCAATTTATGAGCATCTGTTCCGCTCTCTGGATGCTGCTGGCCTCCAGCGCCTTTGGCTGCCTCCTTCCCTGCGCACACGGGGCTCTCGCACCCAGCAGGCAGGCGAGCAGAAGCTGAGATCCCATCAAGAGTCCAGACTTTGGATGCTTCCTTTGTTTCCATCAAGTCTGAGCCTTTTCAGCTCTGGAGGACTGCCTTGAGGGTCTCCAGGCATCTCTGAAACACCAGCAAACAGAGGTTGGCAAGTAAATGTACATGCTGAGAGTTAAGAGCTGACATTTATAAAATATAGAGCCAAGACAAGGAACCGAACTGCCTGGCAAGATCTTTTACTGACATTAGAGGAGGCTCTATAGCAGTGGTTCCCAACCAGGGGCAACTCTGCCTCTCAAGGGACAATGGGCAATGTCAGGTGACATTTGAGACGTCACAGACAAGGGGT